AATACTATGGAAATTTGCCCGTACACAACTCTCTCAAACCAATTTTCTTCATATTTTAAATGCTATATTGCATTTAGATAACCCGACGAGGCCCAGAAAATTTTCTTCGATGAATGACATGTTCGTGATCTACCTTACAATAGATTCCACTATTAGTACGTTTTTACACTTTTTGATCTACCCTACTTTTACCAATGCCCAAATTTAAAAATAAAAATATTTTTTTTTGAGATATTCTTAGAATGACCCCTTTATTTATTGAAAAGTCTGAGGTTGTCTTAGCCTCCATATTTCTTTAATTAGCTCACATGATTTCTATTCAATCTTTTTATCTTTACTAATATTACATCTTAAAACCACATTGCTAGAGTTTCTTATTCATCTTAGGCTGTGACCATAGTTTAATTTATATATATTTATAATAGATTAATTGCTGGAGTTTCATATTATTTCTCGAAAATTTTAACTGTTCTCAAATCGAAAATTCTGACAATATATTTGGGCTTGAGCCCAACTCACAAAATTTTGGACTCAAATTAGGATTGTTTGGTGTTTACAGCCCATATAGTTGAAAATCAAGATTTTGATTTAATAAAAATTCGAAAGTTTCGAAAATAAAAATTTGGGGTATTAATTTATTTATTGCATTTAGATAAGAGATATGAAAGCTATTAATTTATTTATTGCATTTAGATAAGAGGTACGGGAGCTATTAATTTATTTACTGCATTTAGATAAGAGGTATGGAAGCTATTAATTTATTTATTGCATTTAGATAAGAGGTATGGAAGCTATTACTTTATTTATTGCAATTTATATCTTATATTTTTTTTAATACATTTTTTTCCATATTTATATTTATTTGTTTTAATTTTTTATTTTATAAAATATTATTTTATACCAATTTATGAACAAAGCATTATTTAGAAGGGGAAACAGTTTTAATTTTAAGAAAGCACGTTTTCTATTTATAAGTTTAATGGTAAAAAACACATTTAATTTAGTGAAACAGAACACCAATAGTTATTGTATTCAAAACTTATAAAAAGATTATAAATTAAAGAGAGACACTCTTTAATGAAAAACATATTTTTAAGAAGGCATGAATTTTATTTTCTTAGTTTTAATTTATACATTTGAAAAGCGCATATTTAATTTTGAATAGGAAAGAACAGAAATAGCTGCTGTATTAAAACTATAAAAGCTATAAATTAAAGAGAAGCAGTTTTTAATAAATAATCGTTTATAATGTTAAACCATTCGCCAAATATATATTTGAATATATAAATGCTATAAATATATTTGATCACAATAACTTAACATATATATAACATAAATGTGCACATGAAATTTGAAAAGAAATATATGTTATTGAAATATCAATCTATCAAATTCAAAGCATACATATGAAATACTTGAAAGGATACAATACTTAGCTAACTCATAAAGAATTAATGAAAAATAAAACCAAAGTCATTTTATTTAAAATTCTTGATAAGTGGATAATTTAGCATAATATTTTCTTTATTTGAATATTATTTGTGGATATTTTTGCTTTAAAAATGAGAACTTTCACTTGGTTTTCATATTTTTCTTAGACTATGCTAAATTCATTGGGCAATGAGCTTTAGAGTCCAATTCTTGAAGTTTTGGAGAAATATGCTAAGTTGGAGCTGAATTTCAAGAAGCTACCAAAAAGCTCTTAAAAGTTGACAAATTAAGCTTGGGCAAGGCTAATAGAGGCACGTCTAGCGTTGAGCGGGATTAAGATGTTTGCCAATTAGGATTATTTCGTGTTTACTCTAGAAAGTCATTTCAAACATCTAGACCACTAATTAGGGAATTAGGAAGATACTCAGAATCAAATATTTTATTTTTGTAATTGAATTTGAGATTTATTTTCCTAGTTTATGATTTTTCCCTCTCCTATGAATAGAACCTTAAGTTTATTGAGTAGGGACCCCTTTTATCTTTTACTCTCTTCAAGAGTAAATGTCTCTTAGAATTTTTATATTTTTTCTTCATTTTGTCCATATCCATGCGTGGCTTAGTTTTTATTTTCAGTCAAAGGTTGAATTCGAAGTAGAGGTTCTTCTATGATTGTGAGATCTTAGCGTATTTATTTTCTTCTTTAATTCCATCAATATTTGTCTATTTTTCTGCATATATGAGAAATTCCATCTCTATTGTTATCTTATTGTTTATTCAATAGGGCCAGTTATTCAATTTAATAGCATAGCATATAGCTAATTAACAATATTAAATCTATAATTGTTTAGTTGAGTTGATTCAAGTAGCACATAATATAATCTGATTGTAACCAAGCTTTTTAATTATATCATAAAAAATTCACAAGCTAATTTAAATGAACCTCGCTTGTAGAGTTTGTTAATTACGGTAGGGTTTTTCTAATTCTTATTACTATTAGCAAATTAAATTCTATCGCTTGTTTAGGGTTGTTTGCTAGTTAGTGATTATTAATAGTACTTACCTTGTTTAATCTAATAATACGGAAAGATTAATCGGCGACGGTTGTTCAAAGATTAATTATTGAGTTATCTTAGAATCAATGATCCATGAGAATTTTCTTTACAAAAGAATTGTCTTTGCACCGAATTCACTCCCTATTGATTCTAGATCTGTTCTCCTTTATGAATTCTTACTTATTTTTTTTAACTCTAGATATGATTATCAGTTCGGCTCTACTACAAATCTCCCTATTTTTTACTTTCTATTTCTGTCTGTTTATTTATCTAGTCTATAGAAAGATTTACATCAAGAACTAAGTCCCCTAGCGTTACGACCAATCTTCACCCTAATACATAATTACCATAGCATACCGATTGACGCCCCTGAACCTGAGATGGAATTTATTGTATAGTGGCTATGCCCTTCTCAGACAACCTTCAATTCTCATAAAACCCGGTAAATTTTAGATAGAGATAATTTTTAACGAGAATACATTTTTTTTTCTTCAACCCTATAATTTTTTCCTCAAATTTAGTTAAATAAAATATTTCAAATACTTATGGAGTTCTCTCTCTTTAAAGGATAGGTGTCATGTCAACACTTTAATTAAAAATCACATGATTTCTTGCATTGCCTGGAATTAGATATATCATATAACTACTTAGGGTAGTCTCACCCTATCTATAAATTACCTAGAATACGAAGAGCATGAATTATTTTTAGTGGCTTCGACAACCTTCAATTCTCATAAAAACCGTAAATTAGAGAGAGATAATTTTTAACGAGAAGTACATTTTTTTTCTTCAAAACCCTATAATTTTTTCCTCAAATTAGTTAAATACAAATATTCAAATATTATGGAGTCTCTCTCTTTAAAGGAAGTGTCATGTCAACACTTAATAAAAATCAATGATTCTTCTTTATATATATATATAATTAGTCGTGAGTCCACGCGTTGCACATAATTTGAAATTTTTTATTATTTTTTACTGACTTTAATTAAAAATTTTAGAAAAGCAAATTGTGTTTTTACTTGTGATAATTTTGTTTTGTACTAATGTTTTTTATTTAGATATTTATGTTTGAGAAGCATTTAAATGTAAATATGTTTTATCAGTTACATACAAAAGAAGTAATATAAAAACTGATCAAAATCTATATAGTATTATGTATTTTAAACTATATATATATTTTTTTAGTTTTGAAACTTTATTACATTACAATAGAAAGATTTTTATAGAACGTCAGTGTTAATTTTCATGAGTCATATATCAACCTTGTAAATACATGTAAAAAATATTCTTCAGGGGTTGTAACTTAATGTCTCTCTTATTTTTCCAACATAAATTAAATTAGTCAATCAATAAATGATTGTAAAAAATCAAACCTTTATATTTATAGAGGAAAAGCTACACAAATCTCCTAATTATAGGGTTAAAGACATGAATTATTGTGTTTCTAGTTTGTCAACCGATGGTCTTCCTACCATTGATACCGACTAATGGTTTGCTATCACTCACCAGTCACCGAGTAGAAATTAAAAGTCATAAAAATTATAGATGTTAATTATTCTAAATTAAAAACGTGAAAAAGGGGTCAAATCAATACTTTAAAACTCTAATTTTGTGTTATATTAATATCCATATTTTTTATTTTATATATTTATATAGATATAGATATATAGATAAAAGACAATAAAAAAAATAATATATTCATGGATTAATAGCCCAAAAAATTAAATTTGGAAACTTATAAAATAGGAGCCAATAAAAAAATCTCTCCATTTAAATAGAAAGGTATGTTTAAAATTAACTGATTAATGAACTTTTGAAATTAAAAGATAAATAACTTCTTTGAAATTAATTTATCATGATGATTACAATCAAAAACAAAATTATATATATTTGTGGCCGAAATTCAAAACAACTAATTGTTTAATAAAATTCTCTTTCCATTAGCGTTCAATGCAATTAAAGACATATGAGAAATTCTCTCCATTCTTAAAAGGAAAAATTCTAAGTACACATTTAATAAAAGGAAATTTTTTCTAAAATTTTGTTCGTGCCAAATAATTCAGTTTCATATTTTTCAATACATTAACTAAAAGGTTTAAGAAAAATTCTTTTTAATTTTTGAAAAAACGTTTGATTTTTTTTTTTTTTGATTTAAAGGTTTAAATTCCAATTAAAGGGGAATAAAAGGCAAATGTTTCTCTCTCCATTTAATTAATTAATTAGGAAACGTAAATTTTTAAATTATTCTATTTTAATGAGAACCAAAAGTTAATAAAATCATCACTATTCACTACCAAACAATGAATTTTAAGAAAAACCAATAAAATACACCCAATAAATCAAAATATAGAATAAATTTCTAATACATTCTACCAAAAAATAAAAAATGAAAGACAAATATGAGAAACCAGCTTGGCTTATATATGGGTAGCCAACAAATTGTAATCATTATCATCATGTCACTTATTAGCACCCCAGACAAAAATATATCATGAACTACCATGATTAAAAATATATATTATTAAATTAAAAGACAGGAGCAAAAAGGGCTTGTATTTCCTTTAAAAGGAGGTAAAAGACCACCAAAAGGCTCCCATCAGCCAATCTTAGGAGCCACTGAAAATGGATGTTGAGAAACTCTTCCACATGAGAGAAGGCTTAGGGGATTATAGCTATTCGAAGAACTCCCATTTCCAGGTTCAGTTTCTCCTCTTTCAACCCCTTTATTTCTTTTTTCTGTACATTCTAAAAACTATGTCAACTGACAAGTAAAGATATCAGAATTTAAATTTCTGATCTACTGTGCTATAAGCTGGATTTTGGGACAAAACCCTGTTTCCGTTTTTTCATTTTTTTTCTTTTATCTCCATTTGTTTTTTATTTATGTTTTTGAATAACAGAAGAAGGCATCTGATATGGTCAAGTACATGACTATAGAAGCATTAAAAGAAGTCTATCTTGCACTAACACCAAAGAGCTTTGGTGTGGCTGATTTGGGTTGCTCATCTGGACCTAACACACTATCAATTGTCAAAGATATTGTGGAAGCCATTGAAGCAATAAATTGTGAAGTGATGAGTCCAACACCAGAAATCAGAGTTTATCTTAATGATCTTCCAACAAACGACTTCAATTCAGTGTTTAAGTCGTTGCCAGATTTCTACAGAGACCTAAGGAAAGAAAGAAACAGTAGTAATGTTTTCATTGCAGGCTATCCTGGTTCTTTTTATGGTAGACTTTTCCCCAATAATTGCTTGCATTTTGTCTACTCTTCTTTCAGTTTGCACTGGCTTTCCAAGGTTAGATTCTTTTCCTAATCTTTTGATTTTTCTTTTCTTCTTCAATCCTTTTTTTTTTTTTTTGAGTTTTGATTCATGTTTAATGCATATGTAATTAATTCAAATCAATTCACGTATGTAATTAATCCGTATTTGGGGATGGGCACTAGCTCCCATTATCCCCCTCTTCTGTAATTTGAATTTAAAAAAAAAAAAAAAAAAGGGTAATGGGCACTTAGCTCCCATTATCCCCTCTCTGTTATTTGAATTTTAAAAAAAAAAAAAAAAAAGGAGTAATACGTTTGCAATTTTCTCAGTTTCAAAACCAAATGGAAAAAAAAAATTTTAATTTTTTTTAACCAAAAAAGGAAAAAGAATTAGATATAAAGGACTGTTTTTTTCCCTTTTCTTTAAAAAATTTAAAAAAAAAAAAAAAAAGAGTAATACGTTGCAATTCTGCAGTTCAAACCAAAATGGAAAGAAAATTTAATTTTTTTAACCAAAAAAGAAAAGAATTAGATATAAAGACTTTTTTTTCCCTTTTCTTTAAAAAAAAATCTATTTCTTTTTTCTGTACATTGGAAATTACGAGACATTTCTTTTTGTTTCTTTTTCTTTTATGTTGGAATTGAAATGAGTTGTGCTGTAAGGGGTAACTATTTTCTTTTCAATAAATCTTTTCAGCCCATCTAAGATTTGAATCGGAGATTTTTTTATGGAAATTCAACAAATGAAGCAGATATTAGTAAAATAAATATGAAATTTTCCTTTACTAGATTTGGAGAATTCTTTTTTTTTTTTCATTCATAGAAAAGTTTAATGGATCAAATAATATTGCGAGTTACACAATAAGGTAACCTTTTCCTCACTAAATTGATACTAAATTGATAAAAACGATTGTGTTCGAGAGAACTGGAACTCAGAGATCTCCCACCTCTCAATACAACCGGTCCTACCTGATTGGACGCTTGATTTGAAAAATTGAATAAAATAATTTTTGTTTATATAAAAATTTATATTTCAAAATACATGTACCTCTGGAAACCCCGGCCAGAACCATACGTGGGAGTTCCCCTGCATGTGGCTTGTTGGCTTTCGAAAAGTATATGTCCTATATACTAAATATTTCATTTCCTTGAGGCAATAAATTATTATGTATAATTATAATTTCAACAAAAAAGTGAAATTGTCAACTATTTATTCAATGGATAATTATTCCATATTTAAAATAAAAAGGAAAAAAAAAAAAAGCTATATGCTGAAAGGTGGCAACGGATGATGAGACCAAACATTTTGAACGCTAAAAAGATGACAGGCAGTTACCAAATGATGATGCAGGTTCCTCCAATGCTTTATGATAAGGAAGGAAAGCCAATAAATAAAGGCAAAGTTCACATTTCAGAATCTAGTCCTCCACTTGTATCCCAAGCATATGAAATTCAATTCCAGGAGGACTTCTTCTCATTCCTTCACTCAAGGTCGAAAGAACTTATCTCTGGAGGTTACATGGCGTTGATCATGTTGGGAAGAATAGGTCCTCATCATGTCGACAGAGGCAATTCTTTCTATTGGGAACTTCTTTCAAGATCCCTTGCCATTTTGGTTTCTCAGGTTCTTCTTCTTCTTCTTCTTCTTCTTATTCTTCTTCTTCTTCTTCCTGGCTCGACAAGTCTTATGAATATCATACTCTTATTACAGGGAGAAATCGAGAAGGAAAAGCTTGATTCTTATGATGTGCATTTTTATGCACCATCCAGAGATGAAATTGAAGCTGAGATAAGGAGGGAAGGTTCTTTTGAATTGATTCGATTGGAGATGCTTGAGACTGATAAAGACTATGAGAAAGTTGAAGGAAAGTTTGGAGAAGAAGTTGCAATGACAGTTAGGGCAATTCAAGAACCAATGATTTCCCATCATTTTGGAGATGGAATTTTAGACACTTTGTTTGAGATTTTTGCCAGGATTGTAGATGAGGAAATTGCTAAAGAAGAAATTAATCCCATAACCTTTGCTTTTGTTCTTAGGAAATTGTGTATCTGATGCCAAATTTGTAGTTGGAATTATTGTGTTGTAGGGATGTTTATGTTCAAGCCTATTCCCTTTTCATGCCTGGAAAAATTAAAAAAAAAAATCCATTGAGTCTTCACTTGATAGATGTTGTGTATTATAATAGTTAAGTTAACTAATCATAATCCACACTTTGGGCGAAGTTAAAATTCATTTCTAATTAGGCTAATAATCACCAAAGAAAAAAAAAGCTTCAACTTTTGATTTTTCTTTTCAAATTTGGCCAATATATTTAATTTTTGCAATCAATATCTTATATTTATTTTTTATTATCAATTATGGCTTTCATCCAGAATTCGATTAGATGTGGTCGATTGATGTAGCTTCGAAAGGAAAGAAATCTACTTGTTGGACCTTGGGTTGCTGTATTACGACTTACTTGATGAGGGTCCATCAAGAATCCATTAATTGTAATGGCTAAATCTATGAAAAATACCATCAACTATCTGTTTAGAAGAGTAATCGTTGAAGGCAGAGAGGAAAATTTAGGAGAGTAAATTGTTTTATCAAAATGGTGTGTATGAATCCCTTGCGTCAAGTTAATTCAAGGTCAAGCTACGAGTCCATAATAATACTATTTTATTCTAAATTCTAATCCTGTGCTAATATATTTATATTTCAAAATAGGAGTGCTGGAGGTATAAAGGTCAAATTATAGTGATTTTGCAACAAATCATATAGTTGAAAGTATTTTTTTATAGGTTTAGCCAACTGTAAAATTATACAAATTTTTGTAAGTTTGCGGTGGGATGGAAATGAGATTGTCTCAACAATACAATCTTCCAACTTAGAGATTCTAAAAATAAGGATGAATACTAAAGAATAGTCACTGGATGTGAACTGGCTTACTGTGGGACCAATTAACAACCAAAGAAGCAACAAACTGATGGACTTTGGACGAATGCCATAATTGATAAGAAAAAAACATATGAGGTAATAACTAAAAAAATTAAAAATATTAACTAAATTTGTCAAAAACATGAAAGTTCAAGCTTTTTTGTTTTTTTATTTAGCCTTTCTAAAAATTCTAATTGTTTACAACATATTCATGACAGGAAAAAGAAAAGGTAAATTAAGAAAAGGGAAAACGAAAGGAAATAGATATAAGCCTTGAATTTGATAAGAAAATTCAAAGGAAATGATGATTCCTAAGCAAGACTATATATGGTAACAATTAAATTCTTTTGATAAATAAAAAATTTATATGGTAAAATTACGAATACTTTATGAGCCAAAGAAAAATAATTCAATATATCTTTTTAAATATCATGTGTAAAAGATTTTTTTTTTTTTTTTGGCTTTTTCATGATAACAAATTAATCATCTATCAATTGTTTAATTAATTCATATTAAGTATATTCTTTCTTTACTGTATTCAAAAATTAAAAAGAAATGCTAAAAAAAATCAAAATTCTCTAAAATATAAATTTTTTTGAAGACATAATATGATTGGATTACTAAACGCTTTCAAACCCTGAAATATTGACAATACAAATAGGAGATGAACCAAAGGATTCAACCTGATCAGACAAAGAATAAGTTGCCTTTGCTAAGCTTTGGGCTAGACCATTCTTATATCAACGAGTAAAACCAAGAACAACACCAGATATCTCTGTCAAAAGAGATTTACAATCTACTATAAGAGCACCAAAACCGGGATCATCTTGATAAGAAAGGTTGTTAATAGCTGCAGCCACCAGATATTCCATGAGTGAGACTTGCTCCAACTCAACGCCTCACGAATAGATTTGGCTTCAGCAGCGCTTTTTGAGGACGCGCCTCTCACAGACGCTTCTGAAGGCTTGGGATGAAGACACCATCTGAGTCTCGAAGGACACATCCTACTAAAATATACTCCTTACGTTCCATATATATAGACCTAGTTTGACTTTCACATAGTTAAACTATATTTTTTGTTTAGCTTTTTCCAAAACTATCCCTTTACAATATTAAATGATGTATGTATAATTGAGAATAGAGATGTATATTAAATAGGGGTACATTAAGAAATTATATAATAAATTATCTTTCAAAAAAGGAAATGGGACTATTTTTTGGAATGGATGAAAAAAGAAAATGAGATTATATATATATAGGACGGAGGGAGTAAATTTTAGAGAATAGATGAATAATTGTATAATATATATTAATTTCAAATCCTCTACATTTAAATAAGGAACAAAGTACAGTTTGCTCTTTAAATTTATTATTCGAGATTAAAATGCTACAAAATCGGCCTTTTAGCTCAATTTATCCTTAGAACTTGTAATTAACGTTCAATTCGTCGTAAAAAGCCAAAATTGACGTGAAAATTCTGACAAATTCAAAGTATTTTTGAGTTAATTGCACATGGATTACAAGTTCAGGGATAAATCGAGCTAAAATGTCAGTTTTGTAAATTCCTGTTCCTGAATGATAAGTTTATGGAGCAAAGTTTAGATAATTATATTGATAGCTTTCATGATTAAAATTGTAATAAAAATAAATCGGATCCTTTAATTAATCGCTTTGAATAATAATAATAATAATAATAATAATAATAATAATTTATGATAAGTTCCACGAAGCGATAAAGTAGATACATGTATATATGTAAATTATAAAAATCATTAGTCATCAATGTGAGAATGTGGACCATTTTTCAAACCCCATTCCAGACGACAAACATTATAATCCAAGTCATTACAAACAGTTGATGGAGGGCAGCATAAAGATGATGGAAGTCTTGTCCCCATTAAGTCATCCTCAGATTGTTTGAGTGAGTTAACTGAGAATTGCATAATTCAACCAAAATTAAAAGTCATGTCATCAAAAGTTAAAAAAATCAATAATTTTGTGGCCATCATAAAAAGGGTTAACCAAAAACATTGAACATCCTACGTAACCAATTTTGTGCCACAGGAGAAACATGAAGAAGATAGCTATTCTTATTTGTAGCTTTATTTATAAATTATTATCTTTTTATATAATTGATGTTGGATCTATTTTTCTAGACAAGATATATCTTACGTTTTAGTTAAGTTTCAAGTAAACCAAAGTCCGTAATAAGCCTATCACGCTATAAAAATGGATATCCTGCAAAGTGAAATATATTTTAAGTCTTCCTAGAGATTGTTTATTGATGGTGAGTTACCCTGTAGAGCGATTTTGCATTATTCTATAAACTCCAAGATTCTAAAAGTCATGTCATCATAAGACGGTACAAAAAGTTCATAATTCTTATATGGCCATCAATAAAAAAGGAGTTAACAAAATAGCATTTAGAACCATCGCACTGGTAAAGACAATTTTGTGCCACAGTAGAAACATGAGAAGAAATATGCCTTTTAGTTTTTTAGCTTTAGTTTATAAGGGCAAATATATTATCCTTTTCATAGATATTAATTGATGGTTGGATAGATATTTCTTTCTAGACAATGTATTATCTTACGTTTTAGTTAAGTTTCCGAAGTAACCAGTCCCGTACATAAGCCTGATCACGCTTATAAAAAATGGATATCCTGCAAAGTGAAATCATATATATATTATATATATACATACATAGATATAATACAGTAATTACTATATGTTGTATTAGGACTATATATTATAATAGGTTATAGTATATTGAAGACAAATAATATAATTTGTACGATTCCACCACATATATATATATTGAGACAAATAATATAATCATCCCCAAATAGACATCCTTCACGAATTAGGTTAATAAAGATAATTCAAATTCTAAAACTTCTAAATTAGGTTATTAATAATTGATAGACTAATTATTGATAAAAAAACTAAACGTTATTTAACTATTTCAAAATGTGTAATATTCGATAAAAAATCAGCATTGATTGTCTGTTTAAAACTCGAGATTCTCGCTCGGTAATCATTTCTTTGTCCCCTACTTGGATGAGGATAACTATACCTTGTCATTTCTATAAATTCTCGTATAGAAAACACAAAGATATACAATTCACAATCTTTTATTCTCTGATCTAATCTTATTCTTGATTTCATATTTTCAATACTATCAATTTGGTACAGTATGCGTGGAAACACCTTGAGTTTTTGGTCTGAATTTTATTTCTCAAAAACTCCAATGGCAACAAATGAATTCCAAATCATGATTACTGATTCACCCAATGCAGGTTTATAATCAGCTAGCCATCATATTCCAAATACAATGATCCACCCAATAATCCACCCATAAAAGGAAATTTCAACTAGTTCAAGTCCACCTAAAATACATTCTTAAGTTGCAATAGCCTTGACACATGCCTATAACAACTTTGCAGCCATTCTTGAACGTATCATGCATACTCAAACTCCAACACCTCAACACCCATCTCAAAATCATACTTATTCTCCAAAAAATAGTAATTGTCTGATAAATAATGTAGAAGAAAATGGGCAAACAATAATATCAGAGGAAACATAACATCTTGTAAAATAGAAATAACCTATAATCAAGCTATACAAAATCTCAATATTCTGAAGGATTCAAATGAAGAGAATTTTTGAATAAGAATTTGTGAAATTCTCAAAGAATATAGATAAATTGGAGACAGTAGTGATCATGGTCTTAGAAATGATTCTCCACTGTCCAAAGAAATCTTAGAGATGTCATTTCCTTCAAAATTTGAAATATCAACTTTCCAGACCTATGATAGAACAACTGATCTGAGAATTATTGTGTCGGGCATCTTGTTGGGGTTTTAATATTAATAATATGCAGCGGAATAATATAATTAAAATAAATTAATTATACCAATAGGGATCCTTTTAAATGTTTAAAGCAATAAAAATTGTTTTGAAAAATACATCTTTTGCATATTCTTGAAACTTCAATATACGCGACTAAGTTGTCGCAAATCACAAGCCGTTCAAATGTCCGGCCTTTAATAGTATCCACACGAGAACGGACAATCGAAAAACTCTAACACAACTTTAGAGGGTTGAGAGGTTAGAGCATATGATAGTGCTAGTTATCATAGGCTCTATATATAGTTTTGTAGCTATAAGTAACTACATGTTACATTGTATCCTAAACCTTTTATATGAAAACCCTAAGTCATAAATAAATTAATTCTAATTAT